CACTCCTTGAATGAAAATACTTGCCTGTCACTTCGGAGGAGCTTTGATGCTACAGATCATGTGAGAGCTGGCCTCTTTTCTGCCTGTGGTCCTCATAACTAATGGGCCTTGTTGGCTTGGCTGTCAGCAGAAGGATGCCTGTTGGCATGCACACAGGCACGCTGGGAGGGAGCTGGCAGTCAGCAAGTCTGAGGGGTGGCCAGGGCTCTTGCATCTGTCCCAGGTAGGTGCCCAGTCTCACAGTACACTTCTCTGCAGGGGCAGAAGCGTCTGGTGCTCTCTGAAAGCTGTTCTCGGGACTCAATGAGCAGCCAGCCCAGCTGCACAGTGCTGAACTACTCATACGGTGTGAATGCCTGGAAGTCCTGGGTGCAAGCCAAGTATGCAGGGGGAGAGACCAGTAAAGGAGAGGAGCTACGCTTTGGCCGTAAGTGCCCTGTCTGGATGGGGTGGAGTGGCAGAAGCCTCCCAGAAGCTGGGTCCCAGGGTGTTGAGGTGCTCTGGCCTTGCAGGCTATTGTCTGAGGCTGCTGTGCTTGTCTCCACAGCCAAGCCCATGAGGATCAAGGAAGACATCTTGGCCTGCACAGCAGCTGAGCTCAACTATGGCCTGGCCCAGTTTGTCAAGGAGATAACACGGCCCAATGGGGAGCGCTACGAACCGGACAGCATCTATTACCTCTGCCTTGGCATCCAGCAGGTAAGGGAGGGCTTGCTGCCCTCCAGTCCTCCAGCCTGGGGGTCAGATCTGGTGAGGGGAGCTCGCACCCTTTATTCTGCCTCCTGGGGACCCAGAGAGGCTCACTGGACTCTCCTTCAGTGCCTCACACCAGGACAGCAGCCCACCTGGTTCAGTCTTTGTTCCCAAGCCCAGCAGGTAGGGTGGCAGCTATTCCGCAGCCTTGCACCCTTCTTGCACATCCTCGAGGAGGGCTGGGAGATCTCACCAAACTCAGGCCCTTCTTCAGCACCAAGTCTGCTTTGTCATGCCCTGGGGTCTTCCTCAACAGCTCTCAGAAGTGGCTGGTTTTATGAGTCCGCCCCGCAGCTCTGGTTGTACAAGGAGGGGTGCTCTGCATGTGTGCCCTGGGCTCTCTGGGGAGGGTTTGCATTCTAGGTGCTGCCGTGTCTCTCTTGACTGTGTGTTCTGTCCTTTCTAGTACCTGCTCGAGAACAATCGTATGGTGAATATATTTACAGACCTTTACTACCTGACCTTTGTGCAGGAGCTGAACAAGTCCCTGAGCGGCTGGCAACCCACAATCTTACCAAATAGTATGTGTCTCCAGAGTACCTTCAGTGACCGCATGTACCCAGTTTGTGCTTCTAGCCTTGGTTGCTCCGATCTGATTGTGCTCCCCCAGTCTCAACGCCCTTTCTTGGCATAGGCAGCACAGTCCCACTGTGTCTTGGGGTCGTACTGACCCATACTGACAGCGGAGCCAGCACGGTTTATGCCTCAGCAGCTTCTGTTGCCCAGAGTCAGGGTAGCTGGGAGCAAAGCACAGCTGCTTTGTGTTCTGGGACCGTTTGAATCTTTACACCACTTCACAGTGATGTCTCCACCCTTCGGCAAAGAGGATACCAAGCCGGGAGGCATGCTGGCCCATGCCTTTGTGTTCCCACCACATGGGCAAGCCCTGCACATTGTGTGAAGTGTTGGCCAGGGTTGCTATGCTGCTGCCTTGTGAGCAGACTAACTTAGAGCTCTGCAGAGGCTTTTCATGATGCTGTGATCTGGGCTGCCTTCCCTTCTGTGTCTTGTCAGTAGTTAGTTCACAGATCCAGCCTCACCTCTGCATATTGGCTGTCCCATGCAGAGGCATTTGGCTCCAGACCTGTGTGTCTAGGCAGGAGCTGGCCATGTCTGTCCTGCCTGCTGCTTTTCCTTCATCTTACGCTGAGTGTGGTGGAGCACTGACCTGGAGTTCACTTTGTGGCCATCTATAGGGATGAGCGGTTAGAATTGATTTGGGTTCTGGCCTGTGGTTTGGCTGCACTCTGGGGTGGCTTGTGGCTGGGCAAAGCCAGCATCTAGCTCTGCTGATGGCTCTGGAGAAGTAACCTCGTAGAAAAGGCAATGTTGTGAAGCATCAGTCTTTTGCAGTGAGCTTGCCTGGGCAGGGTGAAGGGATTGCTACAAGGCCACTGTTGATGTGACCTGGTTCTTCCTCTGTGTGTTGCAGACACAGTTTTCTCACGTGTCGAGGAGGAGCACCTCTGGGAGTGCAAGCAGCTGGGCGTTTACTCACCCTTTGTGCTCCTCAACACCCTCATGTTCTTCAACACCAAGTTCTTTGGGCTGCAGACAGCAGAGGAACACATGCAGCTCTCCTTCACCAATGTTGTACGTCAGTCCCGCAAGTGCACAACGGCCCGTGGCATGACAAAGGTGGTGAGCATCCGCTACTATGCTCCTGCCAAGCAGAAGAAAGGCAGAGGTAAGGTCTGACAGAGCATCTCTCTGTCCCTCCCCCTGCCTTCCCCATCGGGTCCCTGCCATGATCCTGCTCTCTCCCTCTCTGCAGATGGTGGTTCTGGAAAGCGGAAGCGTGAGGAGGATGTACCAATGCTGGAGCAGCGGGAGAACAGGATGAACCCACTTCGATGCCCAGTCAAGTTCTATGAGTTTTATCTCTCCAAATGGTGAGGCTTTCTCTGGAGAGGGAGCGTGTGCCATTTTGGGGCCACCTCTCAGTTTTGGTGGGACGCTGTGGAGTGGCTGCTGCTCTCCAAACATTGGTACTTGAGTGAGAAGCCTTGCCCAGGGTCTGCGCTGCTTGTATAGACCGTGATTGAGAGAATGCTTCTCTCTGGCCTTTTCCGCTACTTGCCTCTCTCCAGACAGGCAGGAGTGTGCAGTATGAGTCCTGGTGCTTGGCTGGTTAGGGGCTTTGGTCCTGAGCAAGGAGCTGCAGACTCAGTTTGTGTCCTCGTCCTGCCAAAGGATGAGAGGCTGTGACAAGCCTTGATAACCATGAGGGCAGGCCAGGCTTTCTGAGCCCCTGGAGCTGATCCCAGGGCTCATCTTCCTTTCTCTTTACAGTCCCGAGAGTCTGCGGAACCGCAACGATGTCTTCTACCTGCAGCCCGAACGGTCATGCATCGCCGAATCCCCGCTCTGGTACTCGGTCATCCCCATGGACCGGAGCATGCATCCTGGCCGTGAGGGAGATCTACGAGGAGCACAGTCGGCTCAGTGGCCTGGAGGACGACGTGGACTAAGAGTGACGTGCTGCCGGGCTGGCTGCGCTCCAGTCCTGGATGCCTCATCTCCCTGCCTCCCACTGCAGGGTGTGGGCTGTGCAGTGCGGGAGGGGACAGTGCTGCAGCAGTGCTGTCCCTTCATCGTTACTGGACTTGGACATCCCATCCTGCTCATTACAGGCCTCTCCTATGTACATGGCTCCCGTGCTCAGCCCTGTCTCCTGTTCCGGCTGCTGGGTGAGCCGTCTTCCCTGGGGCTAGTCCCCACAGCACAGGGGTAGCAGAGCCTCCAGGGCAGTTCCCTTTGCCCAGCCCTATCCCCCCTACCCCCAGCCCTGACACTACCCCACTCTCCCCCTGCCCTGGGGCAGGAACTGCACAATACGGCAGAGTGCTGTCTGGGACCAGCAGCCCCGAGGCTTTTAATTCCCCCTTCCTTTAGCATCTCCTCGTGAGGCTGTGGGTGGCAC